GGCCTTCACTGTAGCCAGAGAGAAATCTGAGATCCCCTGTAGAGGAACAAGAGCTGGACTGCTGGTCGGCTTGTCAGCAGTTGCCCAGGAAGCCAGAGGTGGCGCAATGCTGCACCGGGTGTGTTGAGAAGAAACAAGAGTCAGCTCTGAATTCTATTCCCAGCTAAACTGTTCTTCAGGGACAGACAAAGCTGAGCGCTCACCACCAACAGACTCTCACTAAAGAGAATTTTAAATATATACTTTTGAAAAACGAAAAATGATCCCAGATGGGAGGGCTGAGTTACAAGAAAGAAAGTGGAACAAGGAAATTGTAAGATACGTAAGTAAATCTAAAATCCCTGATCATACAACACAATATCAATGTCTCATTTACAAGGGTTTTTAAAAGGAAGGACTGGCCGCAGGCTCCCCTAAGTGTTCAGCCGGCACCGCTGGCCTGCCGGCATGAGCAGCCTCTCAGGGCCTGCACCCTGCTGCGGAGGCTGTGATGGAGCCCCCCTGGGCCCCTGCCTGCCCGTGCACCCCAGCTTGGGTGCCAGAGAGTGTCCTTGCTGAGCATCACAGAGATCCGCAGAGGAAGCCCTTCTGCCCAGCCTGCGTCAGCTCCTTGAGCACCAGACATGGTGGCCATGGTCTGGGAAGGCCCCACTGTGGTCTGTACATCGAGCGAGATGGTAGGACACACTGACTCAGCCGAGGCTGGCCCGCTACCATTTCTACACCCTCAAGGACACTTCAGCTTCCACATCAGCAGGAGCAGTGTCCGTGCCGGTGACTCAGAGGAGGAGACCCAGAGGCAGATCCAGCCAGGGTTCCAGAGCAATGAGCCAGTGGACCCAGCAGAGAAGGCCACCGCAGCGGCCTGAACCCAGACTGAGCTTAGGCTGCCTGGGGCTGCCCCCCTCATCCACCTGGACCAGCTGCCTCCATCTGCAGGAACCGGGGCCACCCCTCTGCCCTGCTCATCTGGCCCAGATCACCTCGCGGCTGTCTCCAAAAACACATAGCTTGACCTCCTCTCCTCCAGAGGGGAGACATTGAAATTCATCATGCTGTGAAAAAAAAAAAGGTAGAACTAAAATGCTGGTTAATAAGAACATAAGGAACGGGATCATACGAGTTCAGTGTAATTTGAGAGGACAGTAAAGAGATTTATTAACTTAGACTTCAAAATTTTACATGCAGAAATATCTAGGATACCATTTATTTTATTTTTATCTATCCATATATCTCTATCTCTCTCTATATATTTTAGAGGGGGGACAGTGGGGGAGGAAGAGAGGGAGAGAAATACCAATGTGAGAAAGAAACATTGGTCTGGTGCCCTGATCAGGAATGGAACCGGCGACCTTTCGCTTTGCGGGATGACACCCAACCCACCGAACCAGACCACTGAGGGCCAGGGTATCATTTTGGAGGTTGAGGTTTTGCCAAGTTAAAGGCCATAAGAGGATGCATGGCTTATGGTAGTCGTCTTGCCAAACACTCATTAATTGTAGTGATTTGTTGCTTCTTTTAGATTTCTCATGTATGTGATCATATCTTCTAAAAATTCAAACGTCTTGCATTTCTATCCGTTCTTTATACATTTAATTTCCTTTTCTCACTTTATGACACCGACCGGGACTCTAGTCTAATGCTGAATAAAGGCATTGACCATAGGATTTCACAAGAAAAGCTTTTTGATTTCACCATTAAGTCCATGTGGTAGACTTCGCTTTTGTAAACGGTCTCTACCAAATGAAGGAATTTTCCTTTTGGTTTTCTAAAATAACATTATCGTTAAAAAAATAAATAAATAAATAAAAATAAAATAACATTATTGTGAATGAATGCAGAATTTTATCAAGCCCCTCCCTTTTTGAAGCTGTTGAGATAATCATATACTCTTTCTCCTTCAGTCCAGTATTAAATGGTGAATTACATATGTTGCTTTTTATAAAACTAAACACACTTTGCACATTCTAGACGTCAATCCTACTCGGTCTTGGAGTCCTATCATTTTTATTCAGGGAGGGGCTAAAGTAGGTTTTCGGTTATGCATACGCAAAACAGAGTTTATTCTTTCTTTAAATTTCTTTATGTATTGATTTTAGAGAGAAGAAGGGAGACAGAAAGAGACAGAGAAACAGGGATTTGTTGTTTCTTCACTGGGTTATGCGTTTACTGGTTGATTCTTGTACATGCCCTGAACTGAGGATCGAACCCGCAACCTTCATGTATCAGGATGGTGCTCTGACCAACCGGGATAACTGACCAGGGCTCAGCGTATTCTTGCATTACTATTTATTAATAGACGTATCACTTGCCATATGAACAACTCTAAATCTGCTTTTGCCCATCCCCGTGTATTTAGTTAGATTATAATTTATCTCTTTTGCACCTGTGTTATAAGTCAGATCAGCCTATACATTTTTTTGTAGTGCCCCTGTTGGGTCTGGTATGAAGATGGTGTGTTAGATGTCTTCTGTAAAGAGAATAGAGTTAGTGATGTTTTAACCCAATTTGACAATCTTTGTCTTTTAATCTGGGGCATTCAATTCACTTACTTTCAGTGTAATTGCTGCTGTATTTGTATTCACATCTACCACCTTATTTTGTGCTTTCAGTTTTTAGCCCTTCTGTGTTTTTCTCTCTATTTTTATTTGATTGCGATTTCTTTATAATGTCATTATGCTCCATTGCTAGTTTGAAAATATAAATGCTATGCCTTCTATTTTTCTGGTTATACTAGAAACTCCAGAAGCCTGTGGTTAACCAAAAACTGTACCCTCCTCTTAGATAACATAGGCTTCTTCCAACATTTTAACTTTTTTTTTACTTCCCTCCGGCTCACAGGCGGTCTTCTGATTCCAGCGTCCTGTCCTACGTGCTACTTTGGCATCCTTTGTTCCATCACAATGGAATTCGCTCTAGGCCCTTAACTGGTGCTGTTGTGAACCTTCAAAGTTGCTGCAGCCCCTTCCTCGTTATCAGTATCCGCAGGGCTCAGGATTCCCCAGTGTGGCTGCAGTTCCTCCCCCTCACTTCCTGCCCAGGAGGAGCATGTGGGTAAATCTCCAGGTGTCCACCACGGCTGTGGCCAGTGGCTGTTCCTCCCAAAGCTGCCTCCGCATCTTCAAAACTGGGGGCCATGTTTTTTTAGAGGTATATTTTTCAGTTATAGTGTGCACTCATTCTTGTTCCGTATCAGTTTCAGGTGCATAGCACAGCGGTTAGAAAACCATGGGCTGTGCTGAGTGGTCCCCCTGCGGCTTCAAGCACCCAGCGGGCCCATCCACAGTTATTATGGTGTTACTGACTCTGTTCCCCGGGCCGCACTTCACAGCCCCGTGACTGTTCTGTGACCACCAACCTGGGCTTCTCCATCTCTCCCTCCCCCTTCCTCAACCAGCCAAGACTCCCCTCCCCTGTCCTACCCCCATCAATTGTCGGTCTGCACTCTGTGAGTCTGTTCCTATTTCATCTTGTTCTTTAGATTTGTCTTTCTCTGTCTGACTTATTTTACTCAGCATAATACCTTCTATTTCCATCCATGCTGTTGCAAAAGATAAGATTTCTTTTCTTTTCTTTTCTTTGTGGCCGAGTAGTATTCTGTTGTGTAAATGTACCACAGCTTTTTTACCCACTCATCTTTTGATGGATGTTTGGGCTGCTCCCATATCTTGGCGATTGTAAATAATGCTGCAATGAACATGGGGATGCATATATGTGCCTATATTCTTTAGAATTGGTGTTTTGTCTTTCTTTGGATGTATTCCCAGAAGAGAAACCGTTGTTTGTTGTTGTTGAGCAATTACAGTTTCTATCATAATTAAGTTTCTGGGTTTATAATTCCTTTTCCTGGAAACTCACATGACATTCCCAAAGGACCAGAAAGGTGAGCACCTCAAAAACCCCACTGCGGGGTACACATCTGGTGTGTAAATGGCAGCCGGTCTCTGCCGTTTGCCTGCCCTGCTTTCAGAGAAGAAACCCTGAACTGGGAGGAGGCAGCTGTTTTTGTTAAGATTCTGCTTAGCTCCCTAAACCATCCCCACCAGGGCAGCGCCCCCTACCACCACCACGTTCTCCACAGGTAAGGAAGGTGTTTCCCTAGTGGTGGTGCAAGAATCTTGCCCTAAGCTTTAGGTCTTCCTGAACCAGCTTTCAATGCCGCCAATATCCCCAGAGTTTTTTTTCTAGCTGATGTCAGCAAGTCCTAACCCACGAGGAAGTGCACTTGAGCCTGACTTTTACAGCGGGAGAGACGTGCATTTGGATACTGTCTCTAACATCTGCCATCTTTGTGACGGCAGGCAGGTCATTTGGGCCCTTGGCACTTCATTTTCCATATCCCAAACATGGGTGTGTCTAAGAATTGCTCTACAGAGTCGTATAAAACCTTGTGCATTGAACTTGAGGAGCAAGTTGAAGGATGTGCAAGATCATTTTGACACCACATAATTTTTGCCTAATATGCTGGTGTTATGCTGAATCATTTGCAGGGAAATAAAACAGGACCAAGATCAGGCCAAGAGAGTAAATAATACTTGAGAGCCCTGGCTGAATGGCTCAGTGTATTGAGTGCTGGCCTGTGAACCAAAGGATTGCTGGTTCTATTCCCAGTCAGGGCACATGCCTGGGTTGTGGGCCAGGTCCCCAGTGAGGGATGCACAAGAGGCAACCACACATTGATATTTCTCTCCCTCTCTTTCCCTCTCTCTAAAGATAAATAAATAAAATCTTAATAAGAAAAGGGAGCCAAGGAGACTTCGAGGTGGATGGAAAAGGTGCCTGTCAGCACAGTGGAAAATCTGAGGCCAAGGGATGAGGGAAGCAAAGCACAGGAAAAGAATAATAAATGTCAATGGAGACAGACGAAAAGAAAAAGTAAACGCATCCTTCTCAGAATGTTGGTGGCCATTGCCAGTAAAATACAGAATATTTTCAACCTATTTTCATTACGTAAATATAAAACGATTTTTAAAATTTACAAATGACACCCATAATTTCAGCCTAGGTGGACCACGACCACTTGGAAATCTTAAATCTGCCGTCACAGTAACATGATCGGGGCCCAGTGGCTGGTTCTGCACGTTTGCCGAGATGAGAGCTGCAAGCTCGCGTGGTGACCTTCGCTTGTGTGGTGACCTTCGGCTTCCAGCCGGCGTTTGGCCAGATTCTCCTGTGTCTCTGTGGCTTCAGCCTTGGCCTTTGCCAAGTGGAATAGCTGAGCACTCAGTGTCCTTTCCAGCACCTCAGACTGAACGTGAGTGATGACGGCAACTGGATAGATTTCCACCCTGTCCCACCAGTGAACCGGTCTGCAGTAACAGAGTCACGGCAAGGCATCCGCAGTGGTTGGTACTCCGAACACCTGCTTTCCAGGTGAGGGGTGCCAAATTCTAGCAGTAACTGGAAGCTCAAGATCCGATGATGGACTTTTTAATGTTGCAATGCTAACAATCTGTTGAAGTGTATAGGATTATATTTTTTAACATTGCAAAAGTGAAATGCTATAATAATTATTGAAGGTTATGAAGGTTAGTAATTATTGAAGGCTGATTCTGTGGAATAAATGAGAACTTTCAAATAGTTAAATAAATATATGAACAGTTAATGTCAATATTGAGAAAATATTACCCAGATATTTTTAGAAATAACATTATATCTTTTTTGAGCCTACATATAGCTACAAAAATGTGACTACAGGGGAAGATAATAAAAGTTATATTACATCATAATTCTAATTACTGTAGAATAATTTGTTGCAATTGCATACATAACACTAAATAAAATAGTTGGTAGAAGCTGATGTTTAATTATTTAATTCTGTAGTTGTTAATTAAATACTTAATCATTTAATTATTTAGTCTGTAAATCTTAAAAAAGAAAAGTCCTACTTTGTGATTTTTTTACATATCAGAAGGATATATTAAAAGCAGAATATTAGCCATTAATATTAATGGTTTGGAATGAGAATGTTAAAATGGCTACTTCAAAATTTCACAAGGAAAAAATACTCATGTACTCTATAACACATGTATGATAAATAATCTTTGATTGAAACATAATTGAAAATATAGAGAGAAAATGAAAAAAGTTGAGAGTTTAGATAAAATGAGACACCCCAAATACATTTGTTCTCTCTAAACAATTAACTTTACAAGAATGTTTTTAATAAGACAATGCCTCATGGTTTGGTATCTGCGAAGGCTAATTTTTTTAAGCTTGTAGAAATAATTGCTATAGACTGATAATCATTTTCAGCAGTTTAAAAAAAGGATTTTTTTTTAGATTTACTCAGGCCATGAATTCTGAATACTAATTTCTTTTAGAAAAATCTATAAACACTTTCTCCTGATTCATATTTGCCATGTACAAAAATATTAATGAAATTATTAACTATGCTCTCACTGTGTCTGGTATCTGTGACATTTGGACATGAAGGATCAACCTTAATTTCTTAGGTTTGACATCATAGAGGAGTAATGATTCATTCAACCATATTTCCACTTTCCTTACTTGACGAAAGATTCCTGGGTCCCACACACAGAGTGAAGCTGACTGCAAGTGATATTTATGGGATGCAAAATCAGTGAAGAGAAATGCATGAAATTATCACTGACTGTGGACAAGATGTGGTGATGGCTATGAGCACCGTATACTATAATTCATTTATGCCCTTTTGTTTTATATTCAGGAATGGATGCAGCTTTTAAAGATGTAATTCAAAATAATTGGTTGTAAGTAGAAGAGTTGTCCACCACTCTCACCAATAACAAATTATATGATAGGCAATGGATTTTGAAATTATCGTGTACATATACAAAATATTTAAACGAGATGAAACAGCAGTTCTTAGGCCCTTCAAAGGCTTATAGAACAAAGAAAACCTTAATTTTGTGTTTTCCAGAGAACACTGCATAGTAAGATTTACTAATGACCCGTAGTTGCTTACATAGAGAGCAGTTAGTTGGTAGGAACTTGCTCAACAAACTGATGTGCTTACATGATTCCTGCTGAAACAATTTCCCTTTGATTCTGTCTCAGTGAAGATGCTATAGTTCGTGTGCCTACAAGGGAAAGCTAAGATGCAGGTGAAAATATTGATACTTTCTTAACTTGAAAACCAATTAAATTGCTTCATTTTCATATTTCTAGGTCCCAGCTTGAAGGACAAATTTTCTCCCTAGTGATTGTGTATAGCGGCAAGAACAGACAAAAATGTTAGAAGTTGGAAATAAAAAATATGAGTGCAACAACCCTAAATTTACTTCTGAAAATGGGTATCTTCTTGAAACAGTTCACAGAACTTCAGTCTGTGAAATTGCTTCAATGAAATGCCATCACCATCCAAAATTTTTCAAGACCAAGAATTAAAAGGAAGTGAAGTCTTGATCTTAATAAGTTCCTACTAGAGGAAGGAGCATTTAATTAACTGGTAGCAATGTTACCATATTCTACTGGCAGAACTAGCCTTGCTGGTCCATGAGACTAGTTGAAAGTATCTTATTTAGTGACGTCCCTGTTTAATGGCCTTAGAGGTATCCAGCAGTTGACCATCTACATTTTTTAATAATAAAATGATAAAAATTAACATTCTTTCCGAGAAAATTCAGATTCTTCCCTTTTTTTGGAAGGTCGTTCTGTCCTGGTGATATTCTGACTCACAGAATAGCAATTTTTAATTGCCAAGCTTTCATTTCGACCAACACATACATTCAGGTATATCTCGACTGGCATACTGCAGGTGTAGCTACTGTCTAAAAATAGCTTAGAATGCAGGTGCCCCAACAGGATGGTTCTCATACTTCTGTGATTGATGTACTTTGTTAGGGACATTGGCTTGATTCAGTTGTCGACATACAGGTTTAGGAAGGCTATACGATTCACATTCAGCTTGTCTGAAATGAGAACTGTGCTGGAAACTCCGGATGACGTGGTTGTCAACCCGAAACACAACTTCCCTACAGAGCAGGAGCTTCTTTCCTGACCATTAGCGCAGACCCAACAAACCGACCTCAGTGATCGGGCTGTAAGAACAACTGTACAGAAGTTTTGGCCCTAACACGAACCACGTGGGTCGTGACCCTCTTCATCTAGGCTGCTACACTCGCAGTTTCTGGAAAGGACGAAAGTGCTCTTCATCACAGCCCTGGGCCCCTCCGGCACTCATCCTAGCCCGCAGACTCACTAGCTCCCGGTCCCTGCACTTCGCTGACTTCCATCTTTCTGAATTCCACTAGCTCCCGCCCCAGCACCTCCCTTCGGGCGGTGCCTGCTCATTGGCCCTCCTAGAAGAAAACACTCCCCTGAAGAACTCTGGTTGCGGCTGGGCCCTAAGCTGCAAACTGTTGATCGCTCTCAGGTGTGGGAAAACAACACCTGCGTTTACTAGTGCAACCGCCTTGCACGAGTCCAGCCAGGCCAGCCTCAGGGCGGGAGTGTCCGCCTGGCCGGCAGGGGGCGCGCTGCGCGGAGGGCGGCGGGCGGCGCGTCTAGGCTGCAGCGGTGCCTGGCGTGCGCTCGGTGCCCACAAAGCGCCAGCTGAAGGGGCCGCTGCGGACCTAGCGCTGCCGAGCTCCTCCGTCACTCGAGCTCCACCTCCGGCCGGCCGCTCCTGCCCCTGCCGCGTCCTCTCGCCCCCAGCAGCCGGGCCCCACGGCCGCGAGCCCGGACGCGGAAGGCAGGCCGGGCGGGTGGCGCCTGTGTGGGGCGGTGCGGCGGCGACTACTGCGGGTCGGGCCGGACAGCGCTGGACCATGGCCGAGGCGGCCCCCGCTCCGGTAAGGGCTGCCCGCGCGCCGAGTGCTGCACCCCCGGCAGGGTCCGGGCGTCTCGGGCTGTGGTCCCCGGGCCGGCAGGGGAGGAGGAGGGCCGGAAGCCGGGTCTGTCAGGCGCCGGGCTGCGACCCTGCACCGGCGGCCCCGGGCCGGACGCCCAAGGCGAGTGTGGAAGAGCTGGTCCCCTCCTGCATCCCGAGGCCCCGCCCTGGGTGCGAGGCCCTGGGTGCGAGGCCCCGGGCTCCCCAGCCGATCCGAGGGTTCCAGCGAGCGCAGGGTGCCAGCCCCTTAGCGCCGCCCGGACGCAGGGTGGTGGGCTTGGCGTGGCGTTTTCATCGGCCATGCAACGGCTCTGCGCGTGAGGTCGCCCTCCGTGCGGCTCCCCGAGCCTCGCACAGCCCCAGAGGCGGTGTGACAGTGACAGGCGCGACCGAAGGACGGCGGGGGTCAGGGATCCCCAGGGCCAGGCAAGCGGCAGTGCTGGACGCACAGGGGGGCCCTCCATCAGTGCGCTGGGTGGGCTTACTTACGTGTTTATTCACTCAGGGGGCGTTGACTGTGAGCCTGTGGGCGCCAAGCCCTCCGCCAGCTGCTAGCGCTGCAGGTGACCGTCCCAGTCTGGGCACACGACACCCAGGCAGCATGAGCAGGGACTAGACAACGGACGTGGGGATGGAGAGTTAGGTCTTGGATTTGCCTCGGGGCTTTGGTCACCCCGAGGAGAGCCGTTTTAGTGGGTCGGGAGCCAGACGGGGCTACTGAGGCGTGACCGGAAAATGGGAAAAAGCGCAGGAAAGAGAGGAGCAGTAGCAGTGTGGTGGGGAAGAGAGAGGAGCGGAATCTCTGCCCAGGACTTCCTTTCCCGAGCTTTACACATATGTACATGCACACACGTGTGTGTACATGCATGTGTGCATCTGTGTATAGGGTGGTGGTGGCACATGTCTGCCAGCCCTGGCCAATAGAAATATAATGGAAGGCACAGATCTCACTTGATGTTTTCTAGTAGTCACACTTAAAAAGTGAAAAGAGATAGATGCAATTAATCTTAATGATCCATTTTATTCAACCCAGTGTACACAAAATATTTCCCGCATGTGGTCAAAATTAAGAAATTAATCGAGCGTTGCATTTGTGCCCCCATACTAAGCCTTCAGAATCTGGTGTGTATTTCATACTCGGCAGCGCATGTCAATGGCTGAGCACATTTCTGCTCAGTAGCCACACGTGGCTACCACATTGAACAGTGCAGGGCGATCTTATGGGGAAGAATCAGGAGAGATTGAAATACCACAAAACAGAGGTGGGGGAGGGGGACAACGTCCCTAAAAATGTGGAAGGAGCTGGCATTCGGAGCATGAGTGGAAAGATTGGTTCTGAATCGGATGAAACTTTTTCCTGTGGGAAGGAAAGCAAGCACAGGTTAAGTTATTGATGAGTCTGAGGTGGAAGGCACGTGAAGAAAGAGTTGAGAGAGTTTGGGTCTCATCCCCCCCCCCCCCAGCCCACCATCTGAGGGTGAGGGCCCTGCGGGCCCGACTCTTCCTTCTCAACATCTGCTCACCCCTGCCTGGCAGCAGCAGCAGCCCTGGTGAGCCCGTTAAAAATGCAGAATCTCAGTTTCCCTCCCAGCCCTAGGGCATCAAAGTCTGCACTTTAACCCAATGATTCTTATGCACATAAATTTGAGGAGAGGGTCTGGAGTTTGCAGTGGCCACTATAGGGACCTGGAAAAGCAGCATGGGGGCACCAGGAGGGTGAGTCCCCACCCAGCTTAGAGACCGTTGGTGTGTGTGTCGCTACCAGTTTACCTGGTTGGGTGACTCACCAGCCTGCTTACAGGAACAGGGAATGAGGAACAATTGCACTGGTTCACACCTGGAGGGTGCTGAGGATTAGGCAGGTAGACAGGGTGGAAGGTGGCTGAAGGGATCACTGAGGCTGAAAGCAACGCTCAGAGGAGGCTGACGGACAAGCAGCAAGTGGAATGGTCAGGGGATTAGTGGGATTGCAGAGCAGGTGACACGAGAATAAGGTAGTGGGTGAACTGGACGGGTGGGAGGTCGCGGCCAGAGTGCCAGGAACCATAGTGTCAGAAGTCTTTGTAATGCTCAGTTAACCTACTTGTTATAGGAATTTCTGTGTTGTTGTTTTTTTTTAAATACTGTTTCAATGTATATTCAGTGAAGGGACAGCCTATTCTTTTCTTTAAAGATTTAGTTCAAAAGTTAATTATATAGGCCAAAGTTTGCTTGCCTGAAAATTCCACGTTGGTTCTAGTTCTGCCCAGCAGAGCAACACAGTGTGAGAATAAACAGGTCTGCTCTGCCTTCTGTTTTATAACCCTGCAGACTCAGCCTTCAAAGCGTGCTCACTGTTACTGAATGGTGGGTTGTGGTTGGTAGGCAGGGCCCTTGCGTAAGTCAGTGAGGGGTTTACCAGGGCGCATGAGCTGGGTGTCACCTGGCACGTCCTGGGGCACGGGGGCCTTTCCCACAGACAGAGTGCAGCAGCAGCAGCAGCCCGAGCCTGCAGACAGTCGGCTGATGTTCCTTGCGCCCAGGGAATGTGCTGGGGTGGTTCTTGATCCAGTTTCACTTACTGTCTTAACCTGATCCTTCCCTGACCCACCAGCAGTTTTGGCTCTCGGTGCCAAAGAGCCCCGTGACCGTGAGGCTTGTGCAGGCACCACTAAAGCCGCACCGGGTGGATCTCAGATGCCCGGTAAAGCGTCCTTATCTCACTGGAGTTTGGATTAAGGCTCCTTCTAACACTCGGTGTCTTGTCTCATCTCTCCACTGCACAGACTTCGGAATGGGACTCCGAGTGCCTCACGTCCCTGCAGCCCCTTCCTCTGCCCACGCCCCCAGCAGCAAACGAGGCGCACCTGCAGACCGCAGCCATCTCCCTGTGGACGGTAGTGGCAGCTGTGCAGGCCATAGAGCGCAAGGTGGAGGTGCACAGCCGGCGACTCCTGCACCTGGAAGGACGGACAGGGACGGCAGAGAAGAAGTTGGCCAGCTGTGAAAAGACAGTGGCTGATCTCGGGAACCAGCTGGAGGGCAAGTGGGCTGTGCTGGGGACCCTGCTGCAGGAGTACGGGCTGCTGCAGAGGCGCCTGGAGAACTTGGAGAACCTGCTGAGGAACAGGAACTTCTGGGTCCTGCGGCTGCCCCCGGGTGTCAAAGGAGATGTCCCAAAGGTAGTGCTTCACTGCTAGATGGGAAGTGGTACCCCAGGGCCTGCGTAAGGGACAGTCAAGGAGGCCGTGAAGCCGTTTGTGTTTATCTGTTTGGGGAGCACTTCACGTTCAGTTTAGCGATCATCCGAAGTGTCAAACTTCAGATTGGAAACTCCAGATAACGTTGGTGATCTGGTGGATGGATTTTTCCCTCTTTCGCTTTCTCCTGTTCATTACCCACAAGTCACTTTTCTTTGCTAACCTGTCTGCCACAATCTTGCTGTGGCAACTAAATTAAATCTCATTTAACTGAGTCAGTTTGAATATGTTACCAATGCTGGTGGAAAAGGTCGAGGGGGAACAAGGGAAGAGACGTTGAGTAAGTGGTTGGGGTTAAGGGTGTGGGGTGATCGGTGGGTTTTCGGCACAGACCCTGTCTTCAGCTCCCTCACAGGAGGGTGGGCTGCAGTGCTGGGGCTCAGCCTTCCCGGAGTGACTGGCCTTTAAAACAAAAGGCAGTAAACATCATCCTCACCTCTGGAAGACAGCCTTGAGGCTGCCCATCCCCAGCCGCCTGTTTATTTATTCATTTATTCGACACGGGTTTCTTGAGCACTTACTGTTTTGCTTGATATCTGCATCCTGAAGGCATCGCTATGAACAATTCATATAAATTTCCCTGGAGTTTACATCTTAGTGGGGAAAGAAGGACGATATCAACAGACAAGAAAATTAACACATTTCAGTGCTTTGGTAAAAAGGAAGGCGCTGTCTAGGAATTCATTCTAGATCGGCTGTCAGAGAAGGTCTCAGAAAGGAGCTAATGTTCAGGCTGAGACCGATGGACAGGAAGGACCCAGCTGTGAGGAGAGGGAGGAGGAGCTTTGGCAGGAAGAGGAGCTAGCACCGAGTCTGGAAGATACGAACAAACTTGAAGTGCGGGGCGGGGGGGTGGGGGGGTGGGCATCATCCCGGACTATGGAAGGCAGCCCTGGCAGGGCGTGCAGTGGGCGGAGGAGGGCGCCACTGGAAGGGGGGTCAGGGTTGGGTCATTTTGGGCGGCGTTTTTTTCAGTCCTGGCTGCACACAGGCATCCCCTAGAGGGTCTTTAAACTTTGGTGAACTTCACCCCCTCGAGATTCTGATTTAATGGAATTCTGAAAGCCCTGTATCTGATTCCAATGTGTGACTAGGTTTGTGAACAACTGACGCAGGACATTGGAGACCAAGGTGAGGAATTTGGATTTCATCTTAGCACGGCTAGGGGAAGACGGACGTTGGAAGGTTTTGAGCAGAGGAGATGTGTCTGCTCTGTTTTGAAAGAGTCACTGGCTGCTGCGTGGAGAATGGACCGTGGGGGTGAGAACAGAAATGAGAAAATGAGTAGGGCCACTGTAATGGTTGCAGGGATGAGAGGGGCTTGGACGAGGGTAGCAGTAGTGGCAATGGACACGAGAGGACAGAGTGAGGACATTTAGATGGCAGAACCGATGATGGGCCTTGCTGATGAGAATCGGGATGAGGAGTTGAGAACGATCGTTGTAAGTCCACCGCGTAATAAGTGTTTCTGTTATTTCCCTAAGAACCCCAACTTGTCCGGGATCTCGCAGTTACTAAGTATAAATAACAGAGTTATATTTAACCCAGAGAACATGCTCTTAGGTGCACTGACTCTTAGCCTTGAGCTTGAAGAGCTGCGGGGGGTGTTGACAGTTCCTGACATGGGGACGCTCTTGCGGGGGGCGGATTTGGGAGTTTTCCTTCAGCAGGTTGGCGGTGCCGTGACACATGCAGCAGAGGTGCTGAGTGGCCTCTGAAGCTCGAAGGTGAGGACAGTTTGGGCATCGCTGATGTGCAGGTCATAGTGTAAGTCGAGAGAGAGTGGAGTCTGCGGGAGGGAAAGTGGAGAAGCGGGAGAGGGTCCGCAGGCCAAGTTCGGGGGGTAGGAGGAGGGGTGGCCATGGCAGAGGATGAGAAACCAAACAGGGAGGTGTGGGGGGGCACAGGGCCGAGGGGAAGAAGTATTTCAAGGAGAGAGTGTTCATTTGGATCGTGTTTGTTGCTGAGAGGTGGAGAGAGATAGATGATGAGCCAAATGAATGTGATTTGGCGACACAGGGTGGCGAGTCGGAGGAGAGCTTCTCCGTTGCAGAGGTGGAGACAGGGTTTCAAGGAGAGAGAACGGAGGGAGGGAGGGAGGGAGGGTAACTGACCCCCTGTGGGGCAGAGCTGCCCCGGAGGGATCTCAACTCCGTGTCTGCGTGGTTTATCTTTGGTTAGGATAGTTTACTTAGCCTTTGCAGTAAGGAGAACAGAATAGGTAAAGTTATTTATTGTCTTCCCTGGGTAAATGGGTAACATTTAAACGGTCCGTCTTCAACTCTAAAATCCTGTATAGAATAATACTATGATTTCTCTTCAAGATTTCTGAATGAAATAACATCTGTTGAAGATTTGCCGGATCGATGTATGGGAAGTAAAGTTTTGCGTCCTTGCTTTGTTGAAAATACTCTTATTCTGCCCCTACTTTTGAATTCCAAGTGCAAAATAATTTTCTCTCAGAATTTCTTCTTTATTTTGATGTTTCACATTGTGGGAAGCTATACATAACAGTGACCATTTTAACCGCGTGTAAGTGCACAGTTCAGAGTCATGAAGTGTGTTCACTCTGGGCAGCCGTCACTGCCACCCAGGTCCAGAGCTTCCCAACTGCAACTCTGTCCCCTAAACACTCTCCCCCTTCCCCCCCCCCAGCACCCACCATTCTACTTCATTTCTCTGGGAATTTGATGATTCTTACTTGAGTGAAATCATCCAGTTTTTGTCCTTTTGTGACTGGCGTACTTCACCGATGTAACATCTCAGGTTCATCCATGTTGTAGCGTGTCAGAGTTTCCTTCCTTTTTAAAGCTGGATAATATTCCCCGTTTCTTAGAATTTTGAAGGCATCGGTCCTTTGTCACACATCATCAGATGCCACTGATGAAAAGTCACTGCCAAACCAGTTCTCATTTGTTTGTAAGACATCGGTGTTTTCTCTCCGCAAGCTTTTATCTTCTCTTCATACTAGTTTTTCTAAAGTTTATTGAGGAACTGTCTGGGTGTAGGTCTCTATATTTGTTGTGGGTAGTGGGTATGGTCTCTCCATCAGAAGACTGGTATCTGTTTTTTTAAGTTTGTTTTCTTTAAATATTTTATTTATTTATTTTTAGAGAGAGGGGAAGGAAAGGAGAAAGAGAAGGAAACATCAATGTGTGGTTGCCTCTCATGCGCCCCCTACTGGGGACCTGGCCTGCAACCCAGGCATGTGCCCTGACTGGGAATCAAACCAGCAACCCTTTGCTTCACAGGCCTGTGCTCAGTCTACTGAGCTACACCAGCCAGGACTGAAGACTGGTATCTTTTCAGCTCGGGGAAATTTTCTTCTGCGAATCTATGTTTGTAACATTTTACCCCCTCTCCTTTTTCTTTCTGTTTTCATTTTGGAACTAGTTGGACAGACGATGGATTATTGTCTTTTAACTTTTGCTTCATTTTTTTCACCTTTTTAACCAGGGTTCTGTGACCTTGCCTTCCAGCCTTCCTCCTTTTTAACAGTTATGTGTTTAATGTATTCCCTGCCCCGGGCCGGGTGGCTCCGTCGGCTGCAGCGTCGTCCTATACACCAAAAAGGTTGCAGGTTCAATCCCCAGTCTCGGTGGGTATGGAAGGCAACTAACTGATCTTTCTCTTTAAAAAGATACTAATAAAAATCAATAAACATACCCTCGGGTAAGGATTTTTTTTTAAAGAATATTTTCTGGTTCTTTTTTAAAAGCAGCTGGAATTTTTTTTTAATGGGTACACTATGTATTTGGCTTTCTCTGAGACTGTGTTAGAGGTTTGTCTGATTGCCAGTTTATTGTGTTTTTTGCCTCCAGGGTTGTGTGTAGTGTTTGTTCATCTTGGTGCTATTAGTTTTTTGTTGTTGTTTTTAATATTGAGTAATCCTTGGTTGTACACTTGTAAGTGGAGACTCCAGTTGATTAATAGGGCGATTACAGGAAGCAGGCACGTCTCCCCCCGACCCGTGTACGTCTGTTTAGTTAGAGGGTCTTCCCTTTGCAGGAGAGCACTAGGTCTTAGGTGCTCCAGACACGTGGGCTTCTCTTTAAGGAGCCCTGGCAAGAAGCAGACAGGCAGTTCAGGGACCGCCCTGTGGCCCCCAGCGACACCATACTCCCGGTGGTCACACTCCTGCCTCCAGGCAGGTGGGCCATTTCCGTACAGATGAGGTCTGTGGCTTCAGCTCGGTAGTAAATGCTGCTGCTCCTGCCCTCTGCCAGGCGGGTGAGGACGACAGTGGGGGCCGCTCTTCTACAGACAGACCTTCCGATGCAGTTTGGAACCCCTTGCTCCTCTGCTCAGTGTTCCTGCCAGCTCTGAGCTTGAGGTTCTCCCCAGCTGCAGCCCTTGCCTGGTGCAAGGCAATGCCACCGCCTCCTCCACCTCAGGCTCCAGCACGAGCCCCTCCTCTGGGCCCCAGTGAGAGAAACCCCCCAGAAGTTCCGGTCCTAGTGATGGCCTCTCCTCCTCATCCTTGGTGCTGCTGTGGGTGGTCCCTCCTGATCTCACGAGTGTCGTTTCCGTGGAACTCTGGGCGTGCATGTGCGTAGTTCACTGCCTTGAACCAGAAGTCCGCCCTGACCCTTTATTTCTGTCGTTATTTTATCATCTGTACATTTGTTGTAAGTTATCACAAATCTTTTGTGTGTGAGAGTAAATAAAAATAAACTATTGAGTATCTGCATTTGCCCTGAGACTCATTTCAGGTGCTGAGCAAGTTGTAAAAATGGGCAGTTTATGGTTCTAGCCTCTTTGTAACCTGCCTGTCCCTTAGGATGAGCCAAAGTCCTGTCTCTTCCAGACTCACCGCAGCCCCGGGTTCCAAAATTTCCCCTCCATGTCATTAGTTTGAATACAGCCACGTGCTCCTTTTGGACAGAAAGTTTGTTTTTATAATTGTGGTGCTTAGGATAAACCTTGTATTTAGTGGGTCTTCAGAACATGTTGTGTCATGTGAATTAAACACTGCTGCCCGTTCGTACGCAGCTCCATGACTGTGGCCTGCAACACACCGTCTCTCTCCTGGAAACGTGGTCTGCTCTCGCAGCCTGGGCCTGTGTCTTAATTTTTTCCTGGGTCCTATCAGCAGCTCACTTAGTTTCTTACAACCAGATGGCACTTGGTGTAGATTATGGGATGACTGAGCTGCAGTGGGAGGGACTGACCCCAGCGTCACTGTCCTTCCAGGTGCCCGTGACGTTTGATGACATCTCCATCTACTTTTCCGCTCCGGAGTGGGAGAAGTTGGAAGAGTGGCAGAAGGAGCTTTACAAGAACATCATGAAGGGCAACTACGAGTCTCTCATCTCCATGGGTGAGGTTCAGGGGGCACCTCGGGAGTGAGGTGACAGCAGCCCCCGGAGGGGGGCTCAGAACAGTCCCTTTTCCTCCTTATTTCCATGCGGTCCTTGCACACCTCAGAGTCTGGCTCCAAGCTAAAGATTTCCCTTTCACCTTTGCTACGTAGGAAGTGTAACTCCTCCTCGTGCCAGTCAGGACAGAGGAAGACGTTTGGGGTTATGGATGTGCCAGCTGCAGGGGAGTCCGTGGGTGCCCTTCACTCTGAGAGGGCCTCGGTCCCTCCCCGCGCGACACCGTGTCACTCTTGCTTAGTGAGAGTAGCAGGTGGGCCCCGCGACAGTGGCACGAAGCTTCTCCCACACGTCGCCTCTCCCCGTCCCAGCTTTGTCAACAGACGCCGTCCGTAGCTGGAGGTGAATGGGTGGGGAGAAGTGACTTCGAGTCTAAAAGAAATCCCCTTGGACTGGGGACCCCGGAGCCTTCGCTCAGCCCTGGTGGCAGCTCGTCATCACTCTCATTTATCTCTTTTGTCACATCCCCATCCCTTCTTCCTCCTAGATTATGCCATGAATCAACCTGATGTCTTATCACAGATTCAGCCAGAAGGAGAACATACTACAGAGGACCAGGCGGGGCCAGAGGAAAGTGCGATTCCCACCGACCCCAGTGAAGGTAAGCGCGGGCAGAGGTTCGCCGCTGTCTCACTCTCCTGGCCAGAGACGCGGGCGCAGAACAGGGAAGCAGGGCTGGGGGCCCAGAGCCTCTCCGCGCTGCGGCAGCTAGACTGACCCGGTCAGTAGGAGGGTGAGCTGAGCGGTCACCTTGTCCGTGCCTTCACCCGCCACCACCACACGTCCGAGGGCTACTGATTGCATTCCACAGAGGTCTCGAACCCTTGCTATTTAGTAAAACAAACATGTCACATGTCCTTAGGTGGCAGAGCGAACAGCGCTGTTCGTGTGGAAGGAAGTGGCTTCAGGGACTGTACACCCGATCACAGAGAAGTGCTGGAGGGGCTGGCCATCTGCGTGGTCCCTCGGAGATGCTCTTGACCCGGGGACCCCAAAGCAGGTGTCGCCGGGCATGGGAGCCAGCTGTCATTAAGTAACCCTCCCCAGTGTCTTTGGTTGGCAGCTACTTGGTCCTGTGTGGGAAGGACTGCTAGCCCACGTGGAGTTGTGTTTTTTTCTCAAGTGCCCCCCTCTGCTGAGGAAAAACCTCACCTTGTCTTTGCTCTTTGCTGGGTAGAAAGCTCACAGGAAGTTCGTCCTGCAGATGTCTCTGCTGGACGCGTCTCTTACCTCGTAGATTACTGAACCGGAAGGTGGTCTTGGAGCCCCAAACGACAGTATTTCAGCAATGTAACAGATTGAGTTTGATTAATATCGATGTCATGGGTATATGTAATGAGCCTAAACCTATATCACAGAGAAAGATGGGTGACTTAGCCAGAAAGGTTCACTGCTGGAAGTAACTCTTAATGTGCTCTTGTTAGTTATCTGACATAGCTCTCAGCAAGCAAAAATCAGTGTGTCATTTCTTTTTGGGGACGAATGGAAAGGATGTAATTTGTTTTTGTAACGATGCATGAAAGATGCGTTTACCTTTCATCTTGTCAACTTGTGGGTAGTCAGCCTGTATACAGTAACTCATCGTTACTTAAAATTAAATGCAGTGAGCTTTGGATTCACCTACTGCTGTGGTTTGATCTTCACGGTCGTAGCTTTCATTAGCCATTAACAGCCTAGATATTTACCAGAACTTGAGGCTAGGAGGCACATGACCTGACCTCTCAGGCATTGACCTTTTGGCGACTGTGGGCCACACTGGAAGAGGAAGAGTTGTCTTGGGCTACACACTAAATACATTGCAACACAGAATCACACGAAAAAAGTCATAATGTTTTAAGTAAATTTACAATTTTGTACTGGGCCACATTCATAGCCACTGTGGGACGCATGCAGCCCACGGGCCACAGGTTGGACACCCTCGCTCAGACCCATCAATACACGGCATTGAAAAACGACCCTCAGAGTCTGTCTTCAGAACCTTAACCCTGATGTCTCTCCATCTCTTTCTCCTTTCTGCCCTCTTTATAAATAAATAAAAATCTTAAAAAAAATAACCCTTTGTATTTCCCCCCTTTTATGTTTAACTATATATTCAAGAGGTTTTTTTTAAGATTTTTTAAATTCATTTCTCTTTAGAGGGGAAGGGAAGGAGAGAGGGAGAGAAATATCAATATGTGGTTGCCTCTCGTGCGTCCCCTGCTGGGAACTGGCCTGCAACCCAGGCCTGTGCCCTGGCTGGGAATTGAACCGAGATCTTTTGGTTCGCAGGCCCACACTCAATCCACTGAGCTACACCAGCCAGGGCTATTCAAGAGTGTTTTATTAAGTCAGTTATTTTCTTTGTGGTGTTCAAACTGTCAATTTGGCAAGTGAGAGGACTTTAAATGGTCTCCTGTGTCCTTCCAAGTACTGCCTCAGTGCTCGTTTTCTTTAAAAAAAAAAAAAGTTCCAGGCTGAGTTTGGGGCTCCAGGACCCCCTTCCGGTCCAGTAGCCCACGAGGGGGACACCCGGGACCCAGCATGTAGTCATGCCCGGGGCTGAGATTTACTGCAGCGAAAGGATACAAAGCAAACAGCAAAGATAGAAAGCAGCGGGCAAGGTCCGGTGGAAACGGAGGAGCTTGAAGAGTCCCCGTCTTTGTCCAGGACACACTCAATTCCTCCAGCAGGGTTGTGACAACGCTTGCAGAGTGTTGTCTCCCAGTGAGGCTGACCAGGGACTCAGCACCCAAGGTGTTCGTGGGCGCCGGTCACGTAGGCCCCCACCGCCCAGCATGTGCCCCAATTCCAGGCTCCCGGAAGCAAAGCAGCGGGTGTTCGGCGCAAACCACAGCGTAGGCCTCCTGAGGCTTAGCTCTCAGGGAGGCTTTCCATCAGCTCAGGCAACCGCCTGCCAGCCAGGGGCCCACTGTGCAAGCAGGCCTTCCTAACAACAGGCCTGTGTGGGTTTCTGTTCTCCGTACACATTAAAAAGGCCCTGGTTTACCCTGGCCAGGTAGCTCAGTTTGTTGGAGCAGCGTCCCAATGCACCAGGGTTGCAGGTTCAATCCCCAGTCAGGTTGCAAACAAGGGCCACCCCAGACTGCACCAATGAGTGGAGCAACAGACGGATGCCTCTGTCCCTTTCTCTTTCTAAAATCAGTCAGTAATTTTTTTTTTAAGTCCTGGTTCCTTTCAGTAGAGAATAGTATTAAACTGTCTGCCATTAAGGTGCATAACCGGTCCTTTCACATGAAGACTGTGTGGAGGATGCTAATTTTAGGCGACTTTAGTGACAGAACTAATAAAATATCTTTTTGATGGGTGATTATCCACGTTAACCTTGTAGGTCATTAGAAAAAGCCAATCAAATTTCCTGATTTTTGAGCAAGCAAGCAACTTCTCTCTCCTCTAACGTCATCTTTTAATCAGCTTTAGTACACCAGGAAATGCGTTGTTGGACCGGTGTGTTTACATGAGAATATTGATGCGCCTAATTTTCTGAAATACATTTCAGATTTTGTCCATATTTCTTGTAAAACCCATTACTTATTATTGCACAACATTTTAGAGCTTGCAGAAGACTTGTGCATTATTATTAAATAAAAGTATATAGGTAGAATAGAATCAGTTTTATGCTTCCTCGTCATCGTCCGCATCTGATAAAGGGAAAGAGGAATTATTACACCCTCCTCTGGGAGAGTCATTGATGCCTGGGGTCTGAGACAAAACTGTGTACGATTAGTAGAGATCGAATAGCAAGTAGTGAATGGGAGAATACAGAAACATATGAACTTGAAATTTCCTGAAATTGTTCAAGTCTTACTTGGGCCAAACTGCAGACCAGCTGTGTGTGTGTGACTATTATTTGGTCACTGAGAGTATATACATGTATTTTTTAATCCTCACCAGAGGATTTTTTTTTCATTGCTTTTAGGAAGAGAGGAAGGGAGAGGAGAGACAGAGAGAAACATCAATCTATTGCCTCCCACACACGCTCTGACCAGGGATTGAACCTGCAGCCTACATGTGCCCTGACTGGGAATTGAACCCCTAACCTTTTTGTGTTGGGGATGATGCTCCAACCAATGGAGCCACACCCGCCAGGGCAACCACCACTTTTTCTTTATCTGTTCATCTTTGGAAGGACACTTGGGCGGCTTCCACATCCTGGCCATTGTAAATAATGCTGCAGCGAACATACGGATCCCTGTGCGTTTGGGATTTAATACTGTTTTGGATTCCTTCGCGTAAATACCCAAAGATGGAATTTCTGGGTCCTCCTTTGTCTCTCGTTCTATGGCCCTTGTTTTAAAGTCTGTTTTTGTCTGGTGCAGGTGTTGCTACCCCTGCTTTTTGTTTGTTTGTTTGTTTGTTTGTTTGCTTCCATGTTCATGAAATATCTTTTTTTTTTTTAAGATTTTATTTATTTATCTTTAGAGGGGAAGGGAAGGAGAGAGGGAGAGAAATATCAATGTATGGTTGCCTCTTGTGCATCCACTGCTGGGAACTGGCCTGCAACCCAGGCGTGTGCCCTGACTGGGAATCGAACCTGCACTCAATCCACTGAGCTATGCCAGCCAGGGTGTGAAATATCTTTTTCTATTCCTTTATGTCTCTGAGGTGAGCCGGGGAGACTTCTTGGATGATTTTTACTTCATGCGCATCACCATTAACCCACGTTTATCCCCGTTCACTCTGGGCCAGCGAGTCCTTCTTCTGATAAGCAAAACCAGTGGTTAAGTCACATCCAATATAATCCTTTTATTTTAGTTTATCCTACTTGAGAACATGAATCGTCCTGGAAATGATAAAACTTAGAGGTTTTAAATTATTGCACAAATACTTAACACATCCACTCAGCTGTGTTATAGCCCCACACCTGTTTCACAGAAAGTTTCCAAAAAAAGTTTTTATATTTTTACCAGTGGTAGTTCGTGTGTCAGATATTTTTATCATCTGCTTAAGGAGTCAGACTTCCACACAGTTAAAGCCCTATTCACCCAGGGTAGATGTTACAATCTTATTCTTTTCTTGTGATCAGGCTTCCTATTTTTTAACTGCCTCTCGAACCTAAAACCTCGGCATTTATCCGCTCTCTCACCTGGTCAGTATTCAGTTTTTCTCAATTACCTGGCTTCCTCCAGAGCCTGCAGTTTGCAGGAACCAATGATGTGCTTTCACTTGCGTCCCCAGGTGTGCACTGGTGGGATTCCTCAGGCCTTTGAGGAGTGTGCTCCGAGTGCCACTGTGGTGACCTGGCCAGCAGCTGCCATACCGGCACCACACAGGTGTCCGTGTCAGGCCATCTTGGTATTCATGGTGGGCTGCTCCTTCACTCCTGAAAGGTCCCCAGGGTACCCATGTCCACCAAACCTCAGCTGATGTAACTGTATTCTATGCATTCTGTGACTGTAGGGTTAAGACCCACTTGTTTAGTGCAGTAAAAATATTAGCTTAGTTGTACTGATCTAGTTAGTTAAGCAACCAGAGGACCTTTTAGCATCGTTAGTCAAAACTAATGGTTAGCGTCCTAGGGCTTCCCAAGTTGAGTGAAGACACACTTAGTCCATGAGCTGTGTGAGCACAGCCACGCACACTTCTGGAGAACTGGCATGCTCTTTTTCATCCCTGCGTAGCTTTTACGATTGTCCGCTGGCTAATGTTGTAATACAAGGTTGGAAAGAACACAAGCACCCATCATTCAGGGAATTCCTGAGTAAACAGTGGTGCAGCTACACAGAGCAGCTAGGAAAAGGAGGGAGAAAGGTCCCTGTTAGCTGCTACAGGCATGTGCAGAACATACTGCAAGTGAGAAATCCAGGCACAGCACAGTTTGTGCAGGGTCACGTAGCAAGAGGGGAATTATCGAGATGCATACGTACTTGCTAATAGTTTCACAAAGAAACGATGGGAAATTAAAACAAAAACCAGTACGAACAGCTTGGAAGCTAGACCTTCTGAATGTACTGTGTTTTACAGTTTTGATTTTGGAATTTTGTAAATATTTTACTTACTATAAAACTTCTGTAGGTGTGCTCTCCCTGGGAGCCTGCCTGCTCCCGAGTCTCTCCTTTCTCCCTCTCCTTGCCCCCGGGGTGTGTAGCCTTTGCTTTCCTCTCTCCTAAGCCCTGAGGGCCCTTCCTCTGCCTCTGTAACTTGTTTGCTGAGCCTACACAGCCCAGCTGGCTCGCTTCTACTGCCTTTGTAACTTTCTAAATACTCTCTCTTATTTAAAAAAATTTTTTTAAATCAAACATGCCGAAACAAGTAAACTGTATCACGTTGGTGACAAATGCAAATGCATAGAATACATTTCTTTCAAATACTTTTAAAACACAGTATTTCAACTATATATCTCTAAGGGAATATATCCTAAAGACCAAAAGTACCACCAAAAATATTTACATGGAGTTTACATTTTTGTTAATAATATTGGTATTATTTTGAAACATATATTCAGAAAAGCAGAGATCATGTTAATGTCATTAAGAACCAAAAATTTTCAGGGTAATACAGAAAAGATACAAGTACTAAATCAAAGGATTTCATTAAAAGCCTGTAACCTTAAATATGGATGTAAACTCATAACCCTTTTCTTTTTGTAAAAGGCACACGTTTTATAGCTCTGTCCACTGAAAAGACTTGCAGCAGTGACAGCCGGTTACCGGTTAGCATCCTTATCACCCCGACTGTGGTCTCTAAATTCCATTTCTCAGAGATCATTGATTCTGTGCCTGGAGCAGGGAACTTCCCAGGCGAACCTGGGATGGTTTGTCACACCAGAAATGCAGAAAATCCGGTGCTACTGGATGTGGACTGACGTAGAGCAGATCTGAGCGGGCTCCTGCTGGCCAGAGAAGGGACAGTTCAAGCATTAGAAAGAATAATGACTGCAGTGGATTGTAACTCATCAAATGCATGACATTATATGAATCCATAATGATAAACCAAAAAAAAAGCCAAACCACTGGCATCACTGAGGTTTCTGGAGCACGAACCTGTTCCTCAGAAAATTGATGCAGAGATGCAACTAAGCATTTTAAAAGTCTCATATTGTGTATTGTTGATGAGCAGGAAGTTCGTCCTCTAGATGTCTGTTAGAGACCGTTTTCCCTATACCTGCCCTTTGTCCTTCTACTTCTCTCTCTGTATATGTGTTTGCGGAAAATCTGGGCCCTGGGTGGGTGGCTCAGTCGCCCGGAGCGCCCTCCTGCGCCCTGAAAGGTCGCAGGTTTGACCCCCATCAGGGCGCATGCAGGAGACAACTGATAACGATGTTTCTCCGTCTCCCTTCCTCTCTGTCTAAAATCAGTGAATGTGTTCTTGGGTGAGTGTTTAAATTTTTTTTCATCTGGAAGAAAAAGAAAAGATGAAGTTGGAGTATGTTTCATAGATTTTAGTCAAATAGCTCCAAGTAGGAAGTCGAAAAGGCAACCTGCCACCTGTGCTAAAATCTGCATCTCTCCAGTCTGTCCGTGTGACCTACCTGACAGTCTTTGGGCCTTAGTTTCGTCCAGCCTCTTACTGTGGCCCTGGGCGCACCCTCAGATTGCAGTGGTCTCTGCCAGCGTGAAAGGCATCGGGAAAGCCAGGGAGTTCTCATTTGCGAGCAAGAAAGCCGTAACCAGCTTACCAGGCTTTTCTGGGAAATAATATGGAAGCATGAAATTACTCTCTGGACCTTGTCAGCTGGCCAGCCTGTCCTTTTAGGCCAAAAACGGTGAGGTAGGCCTTGGCTGGAACAGCAGGCACAGCTGCTTTGACACTGACCAAATGAGGCATGTTCCGTGGGAAGCCTTTGGAGGCCGTTCTTCTCTTCTTTCTGGAAGAATCCCTAAGGCCTGAGGGGCTTACAGATGTGATTCTCCCCACCCACCCCCTGCACTGCCCCCTTCAGGAAACCATGACCTGTGTCATTTAATAAGCAAAGGTGCTATGATCTCTTAGAAAAAGCCTAGAATTGGGAATCTGAAAAGTAACATTTCTGAGGAGTCAGGTCTGTATTTAAACTGATCCAGCTTTCTAATTCTGGAAGTGTATTTGGTTTTTAATTAGCATTTAAGAAAAAAAACTTTGGTCAGTAGTGTTTCTTCACTTTTTTTGTGCTGTGTTTTAAAGGAGACATTTGAAAATGTGTTCTTTCACTGTAAATTCTTACTGTTTATTTAACATCCATGGGCCCTCTCTATTACATGGAGAGAATATTCCTGTTTCCATTAGTTCATTAAAAGGCTGCAAGACAAAACAATGAAAAGATTTTTTAAGTGATTGTGCTAATGCAGCGAAAAGTACTGTTGATTTTAGATTATTTCAGGATGTCATCTCCAAAATAAAAATTGGTTTGTTTTGAAATAGGCTCACTGAAAGTGGTGAATCAAGCTGAGCACATACATCCTGTAAAAATAAGTAACTTTGGCTTCATTCTGAACTGGCTCTCTAGGTGTCGTATGCCTCTTTTTAAAGGCTGGTTCAGTTCCGTTGGTTAGAGTTAAATTTGGGCGAAACATCGTGTGCCACACACCAACGTGATTATTTTCACTTTCTGATTCAAGTTCCTGAAGGCTATTTTCTTTTCCCCCACAAATAGAGCCTGGCATCTCAACATCAGATATTCTGTCTTGGATTAAACAAGAGGAAGAACCCCAGGTCGGGGGCCCCCCGGAGTCCAAGCAGGGTGACGTGTACAAGGGTCCCTATGCTGGTGAGTAACAAATGAGAGGCCCTCGTGGCCAGCCCAGCCTGTGCCAGGGCTGACCGAAGACACAGCGGGCGGAGCGGTCCGTGGAGGCCAGGGGTGGGAGAGAAGCGGGAGAAGGGGAGAAAAAGGACCTGCCCAAGTAAGTTAGAAACGAAACCGAAATCAAACTTAAGAAATTTAAAGTGAAAAGACACTTTTAAGTAGAAAGACAAATCGGAGTTGTCAGAGGAAGAAAAATAAGTACATACAGATGGACTAAAAATAGGGTGGGGAAGGACAGGAGAACATTTAAATATCACAGGGAAGGGACAGAGAACAAAGAGGGGGCAGGACAAGCAGACAGACGGCGGAGACGAAAATGCCACTGGGGAGGCGCAAACGGGAGTGTTGGTGAAGAGCTGGCCCTGGGGGAAAATGGTGACGGGGAAGCAAAACAAGCCACGTTCCTTCCAATGTACTGAGCACCATCTGTGTTTTGCCATTTGAACCCTGAAAGAGAATCTCGAGGTCAGAAGGGACCCGATTGTTTGCATAACTTCATACAACCTGATTTTCAGTGCCCTCCATGCCTTGTGTTCTCTTAGACTCTAGGAAATAAATGAGACCGTTTCTGCTCTTCAAGATACTTACATTGGGGACACATATGTCACTGCTGGGCCTGCCTGTTAAGTGTCAAGGGCGACCGGGATAGATTACCTATATACAAGAAACGAGCTGTTTGCAGAACATGCGTCGGTTTTAGTTTACGTTTGTAGATAAGGCCTAGGGAAGGATGTGAAGCCAGAACTGGGCCTGGGAAGGTTGGTATGATGTGGCTGGGTGTGATTTCGAAGACGGGGGATGCATTCTACAAAAGGAACGACGGGATGAGCAAAGTCGCGAAGCAGAACCGCGTACTTCATTTCCAGGGTCCGTAAGAGAGCTAACAATCAGGAAGGGCCTGCCTGGCAGAAGAAAGAGGGATAGGAGTAGATTAATGCGTGACTTTAGACCCCGTCACCATAGGCAGCAGTCTCTTCCAAAGCTGGCGAGCGGAGGAGGGGCGTGACGAGGGCAGTCCCTTTTCCCGGCCGGGAGCCTGAGGAGGTTCAGGACCCTGGGCACGTGATGATTTGCCCCGCCCTCCACTGAGTTTGGTAGGGGAGCAAACTGAGAGCTGCGGGTGGTCTATGAGAGCCAGGGAGGGGTCACCACGTGGCCGTGAGACCTTTGCTGGTGGGCATGACTCTGAATCCTTTCTTTCAGATGAACAGCTTGTCATCAAAGCCGAAGGCCTTACCAGGGCCTCCTTGTGCCCTGAGATTCCAGTCAGCTTCCCTTCTCCACCAGCCACAGCAGCGAAGGACACTTTTTCAGATGTGACTTTCAAAAGCCAGCAGTCCACATCCATGACACCTTTTGGGCGGCCAGCCCCTGACCTAGCAGAAGCCTCCGAGGGACAAGTGACTTTCACTCAGCTGGGTAGCTACCCCCTGCTGCCTCCAGCTGAGGAGCAGATGTTTTCTTGCCACCACTGTGGCAAGAGCCTCAGCCAAGACATGATGCTGACACACCAGTGTGGCCACACTGGCGAGCACCCCTTGCCCTGTGCCCAGTGTCCCAAGCACTTCCCACCGCCAGCGGAGCTCGGCAGCAACCCCCAGGCCCACGCCAGTGAGACACCTCCAACCTGCCCGCACTGCGCCAGGACTTTCACCCACCCCTCCAGACTCACCTACCACCTCCGCGTCCACAACAGCACGGAGCGCCCCTTCTCCTGCCCCGACTGCCCGAAGCGCTTTGTAGACCAGGCCCGCCTCACCAGCCACCGCCGAGCTCACGCCAGCGAGAGGCCCTTCCGCTGCACGCAGTGCGGCCGGAGCTTCAGCCTGAAAATCAGCCTCCTGCTGCACCAGCGCGGGCACGCGCAGGAGCGGCCTTTCTCCTGTCCCCAGTGTGGCATTGACTTCAACGGCCACTCGGCGCTGATTCGCCACCAGATGATCCACACAGGCGAGCGCCCCTACCCGTGCACTGACTGCAGCAAGAGCTTTATGCGCAAGGAGCACCTGCTGAACCACCGGCGGCTGCACACGGGCGAGCGGCCCTTCAGCTGCGCGCACTGCGGCAAGAGCTTCATCCGCAAGCACCATCTCATGAAACACCAGCGCATCCACACGGGCGAGCGGCCCTACCCCTGCGCCTACTGCGGCAGGAGCTTCCGCTACAAACAGACCCTCAAGGACCACCTGCGTTCGGGCCACAGCGGAGGCTGTGGGGGTGAGAGCGACCCATCTGGACAGCCGCCCGACCCTCCAGGTCCCCTCCTCACTGGGCTCGAAACCTCCGGCCTAGGCGTTAACACTGAAGGCCTAGAGGCCAACCAGTGGTACGGGGAGGGCAGTGGAGGGGGAGTCTTGTGACCCGCCCTCGCTTCCTGGTTATCCCTGCGCACCCAGGGCCCCGCAGTAATCACTATTGGCACACCGATGCGCTTGGGGTCCTATGCACTTGACCAGAGACATGCTTGAGTTTGGGAGCTTCATAGCATTACAAAAACACCACATTCTGAACCCCAGAAAGGCCTGGAAAGGAGCCCGGCACCCCCATCTTTTCAAAAATGTGGCCTAAGCAGAAGTTGCAGAGAGACAGGACAGCGAGGGTGGGCCCTCCTCATTCATCATGGGGCAGTGGGTAGAGGGTGATGGCAGGTCTGGGTCGAGACAGGCGGTGGGGACAGCCTCCAGAGCTCGAAGCCCATCTGAGGCAGAGCATGTCTCAGCCTGTCATTAGTTTCCTGGTGTAAGACGGTCACTACAAGAAAGGGGTCAAGCCTCGGTCTGTGTTCCTGCTCCTCCCCAGGCCAGCTAAAGTCCACTCGTGCTAACGGAAGCCTCTCCCCGAGTGATAGCTGAATACAGTCTTCCCAGGGTTCCCAGATGAGTTCTTTTAAGTACATTTTGTTAAATATTGGGTGTGTAAGAAATTTGATTGGAAAGCTTAAGGAGAAGAGTCCTTAACTTTTCATGGGCCTGATGTGCAGTCTTCAACCCTGCTGGCATTTAAACTGCTAGAAGCCTCCACCGAGGTCCCAGGTGAAAGGCTGGGAGCGGGCTTCTCAGCCCCAGCTTCAAAAGTGAGAGGTCCCAGGGAAATGACAGAACAGCCTAACAGTTGTGCCTGAGCCACATTTCTTAAGAGTCATTTATTTCAAATTCTTTATTATTTATAAGTCAGTAGATGATTTTTCCATTTCTGGTGTCTGATGTTCTTGACAGTCCTCAGCACACTCCAGAAGTGTTAACGGAGTTTCAGAAAGTGCCTGTGGACGCCCAGCTTCTGTTTTTCCAGCAGAGAGGTGCTGTGTGATGTGCAGCTTTCTCGAGCCAGCAGAGTGGGCTCACCCACCTGGCAGACCCCCCACTGGCAGGGGGCAGACTGAGGGGCCTCACAGATCCCCAAGATTTAAGCCACAGTCAGGGATGGCCTCTGCCTGCTGATTGTGCTTGTAGGGACCTTTGCCACCATGCGTCCTTCTGTCACAGTCATTCAGTTACCTGGGAGCATTTGAATCTTTTCTGCACCGAAGTGGCTTTGCAATTGGGTGTAAGTCCCTTTCTTTCCTTTTATAGAGCTCAGACTTTTGTCTGCAAAATGAGGCTGGTGAAAGGGGAAAAGTGAGCTGCTAAGGAAATTTTTTTAAATCTTGTGATACATTTCTCCTCCTGCCAAAATCCTATCTCTGCCTCTGGCTTCTATCCAGGCAACGCCAAATAAGCAGCAAAATCAAAGCAGACACATTCCTGCTGAAACTTGACTGAAATCAGCTTGGTTTGTTGTTTTGTTCTCGCGTTGAGCCCGAGGTGGAAGACGGAGAATGCAGAGGCGCTAGGTCTCAGGCAGGTGAGCTGTTCATTGCCCGCAGTCCTGCTCCCCCTGAATCTATCTGAGCCGCCTCAGAACAAGGTCTGGGAGTAGTGAGGAGACTTTGTGGATGAAGTGATGAGGGAAGGACTCATGGTTTCCTTACCGCCTAGCTCACCCTTCACCCTGTCTGGTTGTATATAGCCACCCTAGGGAAAAGCACTCAGCCCAGGTAGCTGTGCTCCTGGGAAGGCTCTGCCTGAACATGCTGCTCTTCAGGATAATCGCACTGACAGCATCTGCTCTCTGACAGTCACCATATCGGGGATCGCGGGAGACCTAAGCAATGGGTGTGAGATCATAACGTGAAGTCCAAAGGTGATGAGGCAACCCAAGGGTATAGAACAAACCGATGAGGAACAGAGTGCTGGTGTGTCGGGGGCGTTCTAGCGAGGATCTGAATTCCTGCGCTGAGAAAATTGGGGGTTCTGGGAATTCCAGTTCCACGGGTAACCCACTAGGAACCTGAGCGAGATCCAGCTGGGTTTGCTCCTGCACTCCCTAAAGAAAAGGTAGAAGAATCAAAGTACTGCCTTTAGACGGTGCATCCCTATTCTGACCGGGTCTAAGCACTTACCAGGGCGTGCCGAAGAGGGGGTTCCAGCTGTGACGCTGGACTAGGTAACGGGGGTAACTGAAAGATTTACCGAAGACACCGAGTCTCCCAGTGACAGAGGCCCGTGGGTTGAAGTGCTGGAGAGGGTTCCCACAAGCCCTCCCGCAAGGAGCTGTAGTCAGCAGGGTCCGAAAGTTCCACCGGAAGTGGACACGTTTCCGATACCAGTGAAGCTGGAGCCGTGAGGCTGAGTGAAAGGGAGAGGGCGGGGCCACGTCAGAAAAGGTGGAGGTCGGTGTGGGCCGGACCTTGGCCCTGGTTCGGACCAGGAGTTCAGCTGCGGTACGTTGTGGTCTTCTCTCCCGCCACCAGGTAGAACAGTAGGCCAGCTCCAAATCAGAGGGTTTGTTTGCCTGAGATTCCAGAACGGATAAGTAAAATGCGTCCGGGGAAAAGACAGAGCCAAACAGAAAAGTTTCCGTGTGTGGGGAAGCGTGGTCCATCAGGGGCTCCTGAGAGAAGCCGTGCACTTACTCAGCACTTAGAGGAGAGCCTGGGGGTTGGTGGTCAGGAGCAGACGCGGCAGGAAAGAGGAAGAGCCAGAGCGGGCTCACCGGTGCGCCCTCTGGACGAAGAATCGGTTGGCTGTAGGACCAGATTCACTCTTTGCTTCCTAGGTGTTTCATTGTCGCCATGAGATGAACCTCTGGTTCAGCCACAGATGTGCAAATAAATGGAAGTTGATTGTCTAGAAAGAGAAAGCTGATGACTGATCCTTTCTGCTGCGTGTTCGGTATTGGCAGCACGGTGGCTGGGCTCTAGCTGGAGCAGTGCTTTGCATCATTTCCCTGGGCAGGGACAACCTGCAGCGTTCTCGCTGGGGCCTGCCGGGCTGCTGTGGGGCATCTCTGAGAGCTCAGCGTCCATGCCCACCTCCACCAGGACCAGACCCTGGGCTTTCCCGGGAATAGCGTGCTCACTGTCCGTGTCCGCAAAAGCCTTGGCCGTGTAAGAGGACCCCAGCTCCTGTATCTGTTGGTTCCAAATGGTGTGGAGAACCCCAGTTTCTGCTCACATTTCCTCTTGGGGAGGCGCAGGAAAGCCCCCGTTTCTTCCCCCATGTTGTACCGTCTCTCAACAGCTGCCCAGCGGCAGCTCAGGGGCAGTGGATAAAAGCAGGTCTTTCCCCAGACCGCGCTCACAGACCAGGAACTCCGTTACCTTCAGATACGGGCCTTGTGTGTGTGCGTGGCGGCCACCCTTGACCCTGGTCTCTTCACTCTACAGAGGAAGCAGCGTTCGTACACCAAGGACATTCTTGAGGCAGGTGGCGGGCTCCTACAAGCACAGGTACTCGGGTTAGGTCCAGCCGGGGTGGGACGGGAACGGGGCGGGCAGTGCACCGGGCCTGCATGTGAGGCCACATCGGGGGGGTTAGTGCAGCTTCTCGGTTCTGGAGAATGGACTCAGCCCCAGATTCAAGTCTCGGCATCAGCAGAAGTGACACAACATACATGTATTATTTAAATGTCATGAGGCTAGTCTCCTTATCTGTGAAATAGAGTGATACCTGTGTCTCCGGGGTGTTAGGTGAGGGGACACCAGAGCCAGTGCTGAGCCCGGCACCTGACACGTAGAAGGGGGCAGGATGGCAGCCACCAAGAGGTGTTCGGGGCCCAGCCGGAGAGGGGCCAGCAAAGCCGGCCGAGCCTGGAGCAGAGCGTCAAGAACCGAAACAGCTCCAAGGAAGCACATGGTACCCGAGGTCCCTACTTTTCATGCCCACCCACGTTCTTTTACTCCGCCTTTTCTGTGCTTCTGGCTCCACAGGTCCCCGTGTGCCACAACACCGTGTGGCTCTGGCTCCCGTGGTTTTTCTTAGTTCAGGTTCCAGGGTGTGGGTTCCGTTCCACTCTCCGTGCCAGGCCACAGGCGTTCCCGGCCAGCCCTTGGACCGGCTGCTCTTGGGCTGTGCGCTCCTCTTGGTTCGGTCACCTGCAGTTGGGAGCGGAGGCCCTGGGCCCCCACACCAGGGTCTGGGACTGGGCAGCGGGCGAACCATGGCACGATGTGGCATTTCTAGTACGACCGGGATGGGAGAGAATCTGCTCCGCCTGTGTCGGGGTCCTCGGAAGAGGACCTCGTTAGCACTGTGGGGTCAGGGGTCACTGTCCCTCGCACAGAGGGCCTGGGAGGTGCTGTTTATATGTCTTGCAGAAGGAGTAATTTGGCGCTTTCTGGGCTGTTATTCCTTCCTTCTGGCCCTGCTTCAGTTTTATTTTTAAAGTGTGTTAGTGGCCATAATTATATGTGTGTGTGTGTACATATGTGTGTGTGTGTGTATATATATATATATATATATATATATACATAGATACATACACACGCACAGAGACTTGTCAACTTGGTCAAATCGCTTCTTCAAAACCAAAAACTACTTCACCCCTGAGACCATCTACCCACTAAATGCAGAAAGACACAGTCCAATCAGAGAAGCCTCAACGGCAGTCTGCTCCAATGCTCTGAAAATTGCCAGGCCGCATCTCCAATGAAACACTGCGTAAAACCTCACCGGGCCAGGGGGTAGGTGGCTTTGATTTTGTCCATTAGCAAAGCCAGTATTTGCTGTGACATCTTGAAACCAGTGCAAAGACCAAGCTACTCAAGAAGTGCACCTGAGCAGGGGCTAAAACCGGCTCCTGACTCTCACTGAGTGTTCTCTGCCTTCTTGATGCAGAACCAGCTGCCCAGTGTGTGGAGATCTCGTCTCGTTCTCCTAATTCTAACGTGCCCGTCAAACAGGATGGAGACATAAGGTCACTTCCAACTCTGAAATCATGGACTTGAAGGTTTTACTGCCTGGTCCTGTTTTCCTTGTCTGGTTTCTCTCCAGATTCTGCCCTTCCGAGGGATTGCTTCCATCCAACAGAACGAACAGCTTGGACAGGTAAGCATCGTTACTGAATAAAGAGTCTCTCATTGTAACCGTACTGTAATTACTCCAAAGCCACACAAACCGTCAAGATTTTAGCAAAACTATAAAATTTTGTTTTAAATAGACAGTATGCAGTTGATGGCAATTTTTAAAACCTTACCCAAGGACATTTTTTCATTGCTTTTAGAGAGAGAAACATTGATGGGGGAGAGAATCTTCAGTCTGTTGCTTCCCTTACACGTCCAGACCAGGGATCAGACTTGTAACGTGGGTGTGTACCCTGCCCGGGAATCGAACCCACAACCTTTCGGTCATGCGATGACGCTCCAACCAACGGAGCCACACTGGCCGGGGCTGACTGTGTTTTTTAAGGATAGGAAAACACACCAAAATAATAGTGGTGGTTCTAGGGTGTTGGGGCCATTCAGTAGTTCTTTTTCTCTGTAAATTCTGTGCAATGTAAAATATCTCGTGTATGGCCTTCTTAATGCTTTTAATAAGAACAAAGACTTGTTTTAATGAGAACGGTCCTGGAAAAAAGGCCAGGAGGCCTTGCTTTGGTTTCTCGTCTCTAGTGGGAGGGAAACGCATGCTTTCCCAAGTTGACACGGGTGGTGTGGAGGCTCAGAAGAAGGGTGGTCTTAAAAGTGCTTTGAAACACACTACTAAGAAGGTCTAAGAAGAAATTGCTGCAACAGGAGCCGGGGAGTCACGTGTTGACCAGGTAAACAGTTTCTGGAATTGTCCGTGCTTCTCACTCCGGACTGCGCAGTGGTCGTTCCTCCACTTCCAACTTAACTTGTCCATTCTGGGTGCTGGGGAGAAGCAGCCCGAGACTGCAATTTGCAGAAGTAGGAGTGGACGGGGATGGAGAACAAGGCAGGGTGGGGAGGACACCATGCTGACCTCTGTCAGGTGCTGGCTTCTACCAGCAACTTCTGCAGGACGACCAGTTCTACGTCTGTGAGGGGGTTGCAACACATTACGGGGGCAGGCATATTACTGGAGAGATTGGGGTAAACCAGCGGAATGCAGAATTAAGGAATCTGCTTGTACATAAAACTCTGTACATCAAGCTAGTTCTTGGCTCTGAGTTTATAGTTATTAAAATTATATAAGAAAAACTATCTAAAGGCCAACTTTATGAGTAAACAACAGCATAAAAACTATGAACAAGAATAATTCAATTAATCATCGTTTTTTAGCCGGTAAGTGATCATTTAGAATGGCCCCCAGGGTCATCTCGTGGGGCTGGGACAAGGACACAGGGAGTAGCAGGAAGACTGTGGTGCTGGTTCTTGGCCGAGCATTAGAACAACCTGGGGAGCTTGAAGAACCATCCGTGTGTGCCAGGGCCCGCCCCGGCGTGATTTCCTTCGTCTGGGACGGGGCCTGGATGTTTTTTTAAAGTCCTCTGATGTGCCCGTGAGTTTAGGATGCCGTGGAAACAGAAATCGAATTACCGGGCTGGAAGCGACCAGGTAGCCTGCTTTGCTGGTCACCTCCAGTGCAGGGGAGCTGTGCACTGGAGATTAGTAAAGGGTCTTGGAGTCCGCAGTGGGAAGCCATGCTTTGACTGGGCTCGGACGGAAATACGGCTCTGGGAATGGCTGTTGAGATGGTTCTGCCAGATCTCAGAGGTTAAGTCAGCAGCTCCAGGCGCCGCGGGAGGAGTGGCATTCACGTGAGCTGTGCCCACTGAAGAGGCCGTGCCCGGAGACCTGGTGTGCAGAACACTGGCAGCGAAGCGTGAAGTGTGGGGGCTGAGTGCCGATGGGAGTGTCCCAGGGCCGGCACCCGCCTCCCTGACCTCGCCGGGTGAGGCCAGCACCTCCTTGTCAGAGCAGGTTGCTGAAGAGCACAAAGGGACCTTGGCGACGCCATTACCAGCTCAATTTCACAACAATACAAGGAATTAATACCTGATTTGTTGCTGTTAGGAAAAAACAGTAGTATTCTGCATGAATACTACTTTATTTTGAAAGACTTTTGACCATTTTTAGTAATTAAATCCACACTTAATAGCAGCCCTGGCTGGTGTAGCTCGGTGGATTGAGCATTAGCTTGTAAACTGAAAGATTGCTGGTTCCATTCCCGGTCGGGGCACAGGCCCGAGTTGCAGGCCAGGTCCCCAGTTGGGGGCGTGTGAGAGGCAACCATTTGACGTTTCTCTCCCTCTCTTTCTCCCTCCCTTCCCCTCTCTCTAAAAATAAAATTAAATCTTAAAGTAAGGGTTGCCCATTGAGAAAATTCAGAAGAACATACTGCAGCTACTTCCAACATAAGACATGTCTTCTGCATAAAGGGTCTCACACAGGTGCCTGTTGCATTAGAACTGATGAGCTCACCCTCAGCCACTGAGCGATTACACGCTTTTTAAAACAAGCGAAGCAGCATGGAGCCATTGAGGACTGAAGAGAAGCCAAAGAACTTCACTCATCTCCTGTGTCGAGATCTGTGAAGAAGGTGACGAGATGCCTATTTGAAGAAGGCCGAGAATAAACTGAGCAGGGAAAAAGTCATCTTTCCTCCAAGCTTTACATAGGAATAAAGCAGAAATGTGCAGAAGTTCGGAGGAAATGGGGCATCTGAAATGGAAACGTGTGTGTGTGTGTGCACGTGTGGCATTTAAGCTTGAACAAAAATGGTAGCAAAAGGTGGATCCGAAAAAAGCAAGGATGTTGGAAACTCATTAGCCAGAGCCACCTGACCGTACAGCTGTAGAATATAAACTATCTGATCGCCGCAGCAACCCCTGGCGCCTCTCCTCAGGAATCTTGCAGCTGTATCACCTCATGCCCAGCACCCCTCCTCTCCATAAAGCACCCCCTCGGAC